GAAAAATTGTGCTGTATATTTGCAATAAGAATCGTAATGCATTCCACTGTCATTTATTTTAAAAAATCAATTATAAAATTAAAAAATCAAAGGAATATTATTGTGAACATTTCTGTATACATATCTCTGTGCACAGGTGCAAGTATACTTTTAGGAATAATTATCTAAAAGTAGAGTAACTGAGTCAGATTCAAAGTTTCATGGAGGCTACTGGAAAACTCTTTTTTTAAAAAAAGCTTTTCCAATTTACACATCCACTAGCAATGCTTGTTAGAGCCAGTACTCCCACCCCATGTTATCCACATTGGGTATTATCCACTTTCCAACAAATGATATCTCTTTATTATTTTTGGATTTCCATGATTATAGAGAGACTGAGAATTTTCTATATTTCATTGATCATTTGAAGTTCTTCTTTGAATTGTTCCTCTATCTTCTTTGCTCATTCTAACATTTGGATGTTTGTCTTTTATTGATATGTAGTATCATTTATTATTATGGATGTTTAACTTTGTCTAAAATGTAGGTTGTATATATTTTTCTTTGATCTCATTATTTGATACTTTCATTTATAACACTTTTTCCCTATAGAATTCCTTTTCTTAAGTTTTCTGGGAATAGTGTCATGTTAGGATAGTCTTTTTAAATCCAGGATTATAGATTATTATATTTAAAAATATTTTCCTAGTTTTGATCTTGAATTTGGATCTTTGATGTAGAATTGATCTTCTGTGATAAGTCACAATTTTATAAATGGAAGGACAAATCATACTTGAACCCTTATTGGCCAGTGGACACTTTTTTTTTTATAAATCCCCTATTGTATAAGAGTGTCTATGGCTGTTATATTTGTTCTTTTATCTATTTCTATGTCTATCATGTCTAAATATTATTTTATGTGTTTTGCTATCTTGCACAGAAACTACCCATCACTGTACTCAAGATTTTCTCTTGTACATTTTCAATTTTAGAGGAAATTTAGAACCAGAATGTCAAATTCCATGAGGAATCTCACTGGGGTTTTGACTGTGATTAACTTGGAGAAAATTCACAGAATCATCATGTACTTCTCTGAGTGAATGCTCTGTGCTTTATGTTCTTGGTAAAAGTATTTTACAAAGATCATTTCATAAACCTCTTGCAGCAACCCAGCAGGTGGAGTTGTCTCCTTATCCAATGAGGAAGTTGTGCTTTAGAGAAGCAATTTGTCCAAGGTCACTTGATTATTAAATTTGCTGAGCTGAAACTTTAACCACAATCTGACTTCAGAACATTGCTTCTTAACCAACCTCTCTTGGGTATTTGTCTTTAAAATGTTAATACTCTAAAGGAATAGAATATGTTTTTATCAAGGAAAAGGCTAAATTGTTGTGGTTTCTTGAGTTTAGGAAGTAGAAGGCCACGAGTTCTYGTGGTGGGAAATTAGGACTGTGGCCTCTAGAGTGAGCAAGTAAAAGCAACAAAGAAAAAACCTCAGGTGACCTGATAGTGATGAGGGTTCAGGTGATCATCACTGAGTAGATGCTCAGGTGTTGATGAGAAGGGCTGGCAACMCTCTCAGAAGTGGTCCAGAGACAGATTCCTGCAGAAGCCCTCTGAAACACAGTCTGCAGCCTTGTCTGGGTGTCATGGGACTTGAGAAGCATTGGACTCACCTTAATGCTCCCTGCTTGTTCCCAAGTCCACCTACACCCTGAGGTCTGGTTTGTACACAGAAAGCTAAGCCCATTATATGTCACCTCCTTTCCTACCTTCCAAGGGGCTTCTCTAGTACTTTCTGTCTGGGAATGAAGGAGTAAACCTATCTTAAACACTTCTAGAGACTGGACTACTATAATAATTAAAAATGTGCTAAAGAAAGTAATGGCAGGAGGAAATATTTTAGGTTAAAAAAAAAAACAAGTGACTACAAAACAGGAAGCCAGTCTGATTCTATTTTGCTTTAAAAAAATTCTGTATAAACCCATTTTATATCAATGTGGACACCAAAAGATAATCAGCAGTTAATGTGATAAATTACACAGGATATTTATCATCTTTCTCATAGATTTTTATATTTCCCAGCTTTCTTATCATAAAAGCTATTATGCTTTCAAACAAGGAAAACACCCAACTTTTACAGAAGCATGCACTAATTAAGGCAGTAAACCAAGAATTTTATCTGAAAGCTGATATAGCTTCTTTTTTCCTTTTCTTCTGGATTTATGGAAATACTTCCAAAAAGCCTAGAGCAGGGCTCTCAAAGTCATCCCTGGACAGCAGCATTAACCTCACCTAGGCCTACCCAGACCTAGTGCTGTTTTTACAGCAGAGCAGGGCCAGCAATGTGTATTTCCATAAGGCTTCCTCTGGGTGATTCTGATGCTTACTGAAATTTGAGAACCACGGGTCTAAAGGATCATAGGAATTTATTCTGTTAGGGTTTTCAGAAGCATAAACAATGACATTTGAGTCCTTAGGTTGTAGGTCTGTCACATTTGTGTGCTTGACTTACCTGCATGGGGCTCCCTTTCTCTGAAGGGCCTTGCATTCCTCTCCAGGGGCACAGAGGTCTGCGTCCAGTTCCCCCTGGCTCTCATATCCTGGTCTGCACCGGCACTCCACTTCCTCCGTCCATTCATTCTTTATGCACTGGGAAAATTCATCACAGGCCAGGAATTTGCAGGGATCTGTTTGATCAGCTGTAAGAGATGGAACAGAATTTGATGAATGTATGATGCCTAAGTGTGGAGCTGGCAGCAGTTAAAGGCAAGAAATCAAATATATTTACTATCATCTTATTTTGGAGTGGGTCATATAGTATTGGTAACAGACTGGGCAAAAAGAGAACCATAGTTTGTGCTTTGAAAAATGAATTTATAGACACAGGTGATAATATATTTAGTTCCAACTATAATTATGTACAGACTTTTTAGAGTGCATCTGAATCATCTGGAGGCCTTATTAAAACAAATTTCATTGGAAAGTGGATTATAAATCTAATATTTATAATATTAGAATATTTARCTCTGAGAGGCCAGTGGCTTCTGTAAGCCTTCCCTTATTTTTATGGAGCTAAAGACATTGAGCTCTGAGAAGAAGCAAATGGCCAGAGTCCCCATGTGCTGGTGGCAGAGCCAGCACAGGTCGTTGTTAGATCACTGTTTTTTCTGCCCTGGAAGGATTTTCTGTTTAATCGCAGCAGCCTTTTGTCTTCAAATTATTCTTTTTTTTAAGTATTTATTTTTTAGTTGTAGGTGGACACACATCTTTATTTTATTTTTATGTAATGCTGAGGATCAAACCCAGTGTCTCACACATGCTAGGTGAGCGCTCTACCTCTGAGCCACAACCCCGGCTCAGATTATTCTTTAATAAGCATTGTTATGTGTAAGGAAATAGGGAACAGGCAACAGTGTATAAAACCATTCTTTCAAATATCTAGGGGAGGTTTGTAATATATACAGTTAATTCTATATAAGGAGCCGACCATGAACCTGGAGGGGATTGCTTTGGACTGAGCAGTTAAAGTAGATCACAAGCCAGTCATGGTGGTGTGCACCTGTAATCCCAGCTACTATGGAGGCTGAAGCAGGGTGATGGAAAATTCAAGGCCAGCTTGGAGAATTTAGTGGAACCCTATGTCAAAATAAAAATAAAAAGTTCAAGTATGTAACTCAGTGCTTGCTTGGCATGCGTGAGGCCCTGGGTTCAATCCTCACTACAGTAAATATTTTAGATTTTGTGTTGCTGCAACCAAAATACCCAACGAAAAYAACTTAGAGGAGAAAAGCTTCTTTGTGGCTCATGGTTTCAGAGATCTCAGTCCACAGACAGCTGACTCTGGGCCCAAAGTGAAGCAGCACATCATAGGGGATGGGCCCAGTGAAGGAAATCTGYTCAGGTGGGGTGAGGAAGGAGGGAGGGAAGGAGAGAGGGAAGGAGGAAGGGAGAGAAAGAGGGAAATAAAGAAAAAGATAGAGAGGGAGAAGGGCCACAGGGAAGACATATTCTTCTAGGGCACACGCCCACCTGGGTGATCCATCTCCTCCAATTATGCCCCACCTACCTACGGTTACCAGTCAGTCAGTCCATTCAAACTAGGAGGGACTGATTAGATTACAGCTCTCACAATCCAGTCATTTCATATTCCCAAATCAATGCAGAAGTTTTTTGGGGACACCTCACATCCAAATCATAACAATAAATAAATAAAGTAGGTTACATTTGGGGTTTTTCTCATTTTTAAAAATTGTTGGTGCATTATGGCTGTAAACAATGGTGGGATTTATTGTTATATGCCCACACAAGTACACAATATAACACTATAATCTGACCTACTATTCCCAACTATTTCCCCTTTTCCTCTCCTCCTCAGAGTGGGTGGTGTTTGTTGTACAAAGGCAGGCTAAATTGTTCCCACTGGAGACAAAAGTATGAGCAGAGGAAAACARATGAGGGAAGAACAGACATGTGAAGAGAGAGCAGCGAAAACACAGTTAGGAAGGAGCAGAGATCCCTTATGAATGGGAAGGAAGGGAACTAAGATTGGTAAATGCCTGTTAAGGCCATTTCTGAAAGGCACATTAAGGAATTTGGACTGCCCCCCCAACCTGCCAACTTCCCCACTGCCACTCTAATGTCCCCCAGGAATTTGAACTTCACAGGCAGATGGGAGTCACAGATGATTTTTAAGTAAGGAAGAGTATGCTCAGAATTGTGCTTTAGATGATTTATAAATACAACTTAGAATTTTTAGAATTAGAATGACTTGAGAAATCATCTGGGCCAATATTTCCCAAGTGGGAACATTTGTGGAACTCTAATTCAGCAGGATTTGATAATCTTTATGCTAAAAAGAGGTTTGGTAGCTAAATAAGTTTTAAAAAATGCTGTGTGACTGTTGGTGAGAATGTAAATTAGTACAGCCATTATGGAAAACGGTATGAAGTTTCCTCAAAAAAATAAAAATAGACCTACTAGATGATCTAGCAATCCCATTAGTGGTTATATATCCAAAGGAAATGAAGCCTGTATATTAAAGAGACATTTGCACTCTCATGTTCATTGCAGTACTGTTCACAATAGCCAAGATGTGGTACCAATATAAATGCCTATCAATGGATGAATTAAGAAGCTGTGGTACATACATACATAATGGAATACTATTCAGTCATAAAAATGATGAAATCCCRTCACTTGCAACAACATGGATGACCCTGATAGACATTAAATGAAATAAACTAAGTGCAGAAAGACAAATACTGTGTGATCTTATTCCTATGTGGGATCTAAAACAGTAGATCTTGTTGATGCTGACAGTAGAATGATGGTTACCAAAAGCTGGAGAGAAGAAGTGGAGGAGGTGATGGGAAGGGACAAGGCCCCTGGGCACAAAGTTAGATAGGAATAAGTTCTAAGTAGGAACTTATTGTATAGGAAGGTTATTATGATTGGCAATCATGCATTGTATATTTCGAAAATAGCTAGAAAAGAGGATTTTTGAATGTTCTCATCACAAATGACAAATGTTTAAGACAGAAGATGTGTTAATTAACCTCATTTGGTCAATTACACAATGTATGCATATTTTGAAATATCATATTGTATTCCATAAATAAGTAAAATTATCATGTGTCAACCAGAGATAAAAGTAAGGTGCACTGGGACACATCTGTGATCCCAGATACTCTGGAGGATCACCTGAGCCCAGGAGTTCARGATCAGCTTGATGGGACACCATTTCAAAAAAATTAAAAATAAATAAAACAGTAAACAAGAAAAACATATTGTATGAAATAAGTATAACAAGGTTTCTTTCTCTTGCTCTCTTTCAGCCTCCAACACTATTCCTTTCTCTTTTTATTGTTAAACCTCTTAGGGTCATTTATAAGCTCATGTCTATTATGAGTCTTCAAGCAGAGAATGTGGTCAGCTACTTAGCCAAATGTACAGACCATAGAAACTTTAAGGGTGATGGGGACAAGTGTTCAAACAAATCCGTCTGCTCATTTTTCCCATCGAGTATCTCCTTGTAGCAGAAAACCCTAAAGCAAGAGGTTAGTTTGACCAGCCCAGGGGTTTGGGCAAGAGAAGTTCCTTGAAAACATATTTTTGGGTCTCCCAACAAGGTAGACTCCTAAAAGTCTTTATGTGACATTGTGTTTCTCTGCAGCTTCCACGTTCCTATGGAGAGCCACACCTGGATAATGTAATCTGGCTTTCTCTGCCTTGTGGTTCCTAGAACTGGCCATGTTCAGGAATCCTTGTCACTGATTAGGAAATAACTCAGATTTACACTGACAACCCAGTTGATTTATGTCCAGGGCCTGGATTAGTAAATGACAACTGTCAGCAACCTTAGACTCAGAGCTGTATTCTTGAAAACAGAGGCCAGGAGGGAATGTCGGTTCCATTTCTCTCCCTTGCTGCACTAGAGAAATATATTTAACTTGGAAAGCTGACCGAATGCATGAATTCTTGCCCTCTGAAGAGAAATAGCAAAGGTCTGATAACCAGAAGAGTTTCCCCATGAAAATAAGTGTTTCTATTTTACAATAATTTCCTTTAGCCCAGTCTGGCATACTCTATGCATCAGTAAAATTGCACAGTACACGGTGAGGCAATGTTGGAGCAACAAATTTGTCCAAATTTGGGGGCTCAGAATCAGGAATATTTGAAGAATGAAGGCAATCGGTTTGTAAACTACTCAACTTTCTCATGTTATTTATTCAGGACCAGTCAATAGAGAAGGAGACTTTGAAATCACTAAGCTTAGGTTTTGTTTGCTGGGTATGCTTTCCTGGGTACTAAAACAACATTCATCCATTCAACAAATATCAACTTGGCCTTTCAAAACTTTCAGCACTAAGAATTTCACACTGGCTAAATATTTTTGATTTTTATTTTATCCATATATATAAAATTTACATTTTTAGATAGGTAGAATTTTAGAGTCAGAAGTCGTTTTAGAGATCTTTTAGACTAATTTGCTCCTTGAAGATGAGAAAGCTGCGATGCAAGGAATAGGAATATTGCTAAGGTCATGCCTGTTTGTGTTCGAGTCTTCTGACTGAGATTTCAGGAAGGAAAGAGCCCCATAGGGGATCTGTTGGACCCCTTGCCAATATGGCAAATGGAGGCAACTGCAGTTAATTAGACTCAAAACAGAAGCAACTCACACAATTTCTTTCTGTACTACCTTAAAAAAAAGTCCTTTTACCTCTTTAGTCACATGTCATCTTTCAAATGACACATGCAACTTTGGATTTTAGGCAAAGACCCACATTTGGGCTGATTCTGAGAAAGAAAGAGCTGCAGATGAGATAGAAGAGGAGAAAGATGGGCTGTATGATGAATGAAAGTTTAAATAGTAGAATTTTCCTATGCAAAGCTTCCCTGTGTTGTTTTTTTTCTTTCTTTGTCATATCCCCCAAACATTTTTCCTTAGAATAATAGGATTATTCATGGATACACCATACATCTGTTTCTCTCATCCTTAACATATCTCTGGACATTTGTACAAAATAGTCATTGCTCTCGATTTGGTTAAACATCATCATCATCATCATCATCATTGTCATTATCTATACATTCTGTAGCAACAACCAAGAATTCTCTGTCCAAAAATGGTCTCATTACTTGGAAAGAAGGAGGACAAGAATACTTGAGAGCAACCATGGATTAGGAAGGAAAACATTAG